TCACCACCTCATAGCACATCGCTCCGCGTACCTGTTAAGCACCAGAAATTAGTGCACGCTTCAAACAGAAAGACTGGGATTAAGGTTCAGAGAGACCAAGTGTGTTTGTTTGTTCATTCACTCATTCATCCATTCGTTAAATATTTCATTGCATTCCCAACTGGATGCTACAGTATAACAAACAAGACAGGCATAGTCCCTGCCTCATGGCACATGTAGTCTACTAGGGGGAGAAAGACAGTAACAGGAAAATGAGCAAGATCACTGCACGTGGTGAGAAGGGCTAGGAAGGAAGCAAGGGATGGCTGATGTGGAGGGGTTGAAGACATACATAGTTTAGGTGAAGTGGTCCAAAAAACTCTCTGAGGAGGTGTTACTGAAATGTTGTTGTTAGGTGCCATTGAATAGGTTCAGACTCATAGCGACCCTATGTACAACAGAACAAAACACTGCCAGGTCCTGCATCATTCTTATAATTGTTGCTATGTTTCAGCCCATCGTTGCAGCCACTGTGTCAATACAACTCATTGATGGCCTTCTTCTTTTTCGCTGACCCTCTACTTAACCAAGCATGATGTCCTTCTCCAGGGACTGGTCCCTCCTGATAATCTGTCCAAAGTACAAGAGACAAAGTCTCACCATCTTCACTTCTAAGGAGCATTCTGGCTGTACTTCTTCCAAGACAGATTTGTTCATTCCTTGACAGTCCATGGTATATTCAGTATTGAAGTGGAGACCTGAAATACAGGAAGGAGCTGACTTTGGGGACAGAAAAAGGAATGTCATCATTGACATAGAAGTGGCATGTGCAGAGACCTTGGGATGGAATATGTTTGTTGCCTCCAAGGAAATGAAAGGACACCTGTGTGGCTGGCAACAAGTGAGGGGAGGAAGGTGGTGCAAGATAAGGCTGGAAAGTGATCAGAAGACAACTGGACCCAGAGTCATGGTTGAGTGAGGAGAATGAGCAATTGGACACTGAGATTATCCAGAATTTTTAATATACTTTTGTACCAAAGTGCTGATGAGGAATACCTGTGGAAGAAACAACTTTTGGGTTAGGGCAGTAAATATCCCTGGGAGTGTTGTGATGTTGACCGTGTGTGAAGCCATCAAAAGCATAACCTTAGCCTTTTCTGCAGAGGACAGACAAAATAGAGGTGGTACGACAATTAATAAAATTGCCTCATGTAGAAGAAATGCACTTCCTACCCTTACTGTAAGGAGCCCTGGTGACACAATGGTTAAGTGCGCAACTGCTAACTGAAAGGTCGACAGTTTGAAAGCAAGAGCTGGTGATCTGCTTCCATAAAGATTACAGCCTAGGAAACCCTATGGATCAGTTCTGCTCTGTCCAATAGGGCCGCTATGAGTTGGAACCGACTTGATGGCACCCAACAACAGCAACACTTCCTGAAGGGCACATCTATTGCCTTTGAGTCTATGCAGCATCTGTTCCTTTTCTTCCTTCTCCTCCTTCTTTTGGGTAACAATGTCTGACCTACCTTTGGCCCAATGGTCAATGGCTGCAGTCCCCTTCCGAGGTTCCCTTGCTGTTCTCTCTTCCTAGGCGGAGTCTCTATCTCTCCCATTGGATGCTTCTGCTTTTGCCAAGGCCCACTTCAAAGAGGAACAGGACCATCTTGGGACTGAGGTGAAGAGGGGAAAACCAACTGTCAAAGTCCCCTCATCTCTCAAAAGTCTTTCTTCAGGCCCCCTCTGAATTCTTACAGTGATTTTTTTTTCTTGTTGACACTCATATTCTCCTATTTGCCTTGTTTAAGCAGGGAGAGCTAGATTGTTAGTTGATTTATGATACTCTCTGGACCTGTTGCCTTGCACGTAGCCAATACTAAAAACTATTTATTGGATTGAATTCTTATCATTTATTGAGCAATTAATTTGCCGGGTGCTCTCCTGAAGGCTTGTTTTCTCCTCTAATAACTAACCATTTATGCCTATTTTATAGATGAGGAAATTGAGGTTCAGAGCCATTGAGTGTCACACTCAAGGGTACACATGTGGTAAGTGGTAAGATTCCTGTCCAGATCTTTCTGAACCATGGCACAACACTACTTCTTACGCATGAATTCAAAGAACGAGAACACAACGACATGTACTTCACCCGAACTGTATTTACTATAACATCTCTTTCTCTTTTTAAATTTTTAATTTTATTGTAGTAAAATATATATAACAAAAAGATTGTCATTTTAACCATTTTAAGTGTACAACTCGGTGACATTAATTACTTTTGCCATGTTGTGCTACATCACCACTATCCATTTCCGAAAGGTTTACAGAAACTCAGTACGCCTTAAATAATAACTCCCAATTTCCTCTTTCCTCTGGTCCCTAATAACCACTAATAAACTTTTGTCTCTATGCATTTCCTATTCTAGATATTTCATGTAAGTCAGATTACACAATATTTGTCCTTTTGTGTCTTATTTCACTGAGCACAATGTTTTCAAAGTTCATCCATCTTGAAGCATGTACCAGAACTTCATTTCTCTTCATGGCTGAATAATACTCCATTGTATGAATAGACCACATTTTGTGTATCCATTCCTCTGTTGATGGACACTTGGGTTGTTGCCACCCTTTGGCTATTGAAGATAATGCTGCAGTGAACATTGGTGTGCAAGTATCTATTTGAGTCCCTGCTTTCAACTCTCTTGGATATATACCTAGAAGTGGAATTGCTAGCTTATATGGTAATTCTACGTTTAACTTTTTGAGGAACTTGCAAATGGTTTCCCATGGTGGTTACACCATTTTACATTCCCTTCAGCAATGCATGAGGGTTCCAATCTCTCCACGTCCTCAACAACACTTGTTAGTTTCTGTTAATAGCCATCCTAATAGGTATGAGGTGGTAAGTCATTGCAGTTTTGATTTGCATTTCCCTAATGACTAACTTTTCCTTTGTGGATCATAACAAATTATGGATAACACTGCAAAGAATGGAAACTCCAGAACACTTAATTGTGCTCATGAGGAACTGTACATAGACCAAGAAGCAGTTGTTTGAACAGAACGAGGGGATATTGTGTAGTTGAAAATCAGGAAAGGTGTGCATCAGGGTTGTGTCCTTTCACCATACTTATTCCATCTATATGCTGAGCAAATAACCTGAGAAGCTAGACTACCTGAAGAAGAACGCGGCATCGGGTTTGGAGGAAGACTCATTAACAATGTGTGATATGCAGATGACACAGCCTTGCTTGCTAAAAGGGAAGAGGACTTGAGGCACTTGCTAATGAAGATCAAAGACTACAGCCTTCAGTATGGATTATGTCTCAACATAAAGAAAATGAAAATACTCACAACTGGACCAATAAGCAACATCATGATAAACGGACAAAAGACTGAAGCTGTTAAGGATTTCATTTTACTTGGATCCACAATCAACGCCCATGGAAGCAGCAGTCAGGAAATCAAATGACATATTGCATTGGGCAAATCTGCTGCAAAAAATCTCTTTACAGTGTTAAAATGCAAAGATGTCACTTTGAGGACTAAGGTGTGCCTGACCCAAGCCATGATATTTTCAATTGCCTCATATGCATGCGAAAGCTGGACAATGAATAAGGAAGACCAAAGAAGAATTGATGCCTTTATGGTGTTGGTGAAGAGTGTTGAATATACCATGGACTGCCAGAAGAATGAACAGTACTTCTCAGAAGAAGTACAGTCAGAATGCTCCTTAGAAGCGAGGATGGCGAGACTTCGTCTCACATAGTTTGGACATGTTATCAGGAGGGACCAGTCCCTGGAGAAAGACAGCATGTTTGGTAAAGTAGAGGGTCAGCAAAAAAGAGGAAGACTCTCAAGGAGATGGATTGACACAGTGGTTGCAACAATGGGCTCACACATTGCAACGATTGTGAAGATGGTGCAGGACTGGACAGTGTTTTCGTTCTGTTGTTTATATGGTCACTATGAGTCGGAACCTACTGGATGGTGCCTAACAGTAACAACAATGACTATGTTGAGCATCTTTTCATGTGCTTGTTGGTCATTCATGTATCTTTTTTGGAAAAATGTTTACTCAAGTCCTTTGCCCATTTTTTAATTGTTTTTTTTTTTTTTTGGTCTTTTTGTTGCTGACTTGTAGGAGTTCTTTATATATTCTGGATATCAAACCCTTATCAAATATATGGTTCTCAAATATTTTCTCCCAGTCTGTAGGTTTTCTCTTCTTCACTTTGTTGATAAAGTCCTTTGATGTACATAAGTTTTTAATTTTAATGATATCATATTTATCTATTTTTTTCTTTGGTTGATTGTGCCTTTCATGTCATCCTGTTTTTTTTTTTAGTGAGTCAAAAACCATCTTGGGATCTTATAGTGCATGAGAACTGTCAGTATGTAAATACATTATTATTGTCCAGAGAAGTGCAAAAATGTCCATGAGTAGGGAAGGTTGGCCATGTGGATGCTGTACCACTTTCTTATTATATGTGTACTTGCTTGGAATGTGCAGAATGCATATCTTAAATTCCCTTTTTTAAAGTCGTAATTTCCAAAAAGGTCTTGAAATAATGGCACAATTATTTTACAATTTATTCTCATAAAAGGTCAACTGCAAGATCTTCAGGAACAGGAGAGGGAACTAAACAGGTCACAATTTAACATTAAACATTTGGATGAACGTAAGATTGTATCTCCTCCCCCAAAAGAATGAAATTAAAATAAAGAGAAATAAACAATACACATGGAGTCCTGAAGCCTCTTGATGTCTTTGCCTGTGGGCTAATGTCCCATGTTAAAATCTAAACTTCAAAAGTGACCTCAAACTGGAACCTTTCCATAGGGAAAGCTGGACAGCAAATATTGACCCCAGGATCAATTCTTTCTGGTTAAGCTACAAAGGGCTCCAGTCTGAAGGAACGGTCTGGTCACTTTTGATAAAGACAGCTGCTCTCAGGAGAGCTTGTCACCCCAAAACCCATAGAGAGACAGCTGGACCCCTGCTCTGAATTAAAATTATTCTTCCCAGAATGGAGAAGATGATGGTGATATCTGTTGTGTTTGTTCTTGGCATGGGCCCATGGTCTTGCTCAGGTAAGGAACTCAACGAGAGGGCCACCTCCATTTAATGGCCACAGAACCTTCCTGGCTACGTGTCTCCGTCTCACTGTGGCCCCATGGGCTTTCTGTCCAGGATTCCCGGTGTATGACTATGATCCGTCCTCCTTAAAGGAAGCCCTTAGCGCCTCCGTGGCAAAAGTGAATTCCCAGGCCCTGAGTCCGTACCTGTTTCGGGCGTTCAGAAGCTCAATAAAAAGGGTAAGTGCAGGAATGAAGTCTTCTCATTCTTCTTTACTGCCTTCTGTTTTTTTTTCAAATGTTGTCACTTTGTTGGATACACTTTTAATTTGTTCAACTTAAAAAGACAATAGCTAGTCATCTCTTTTGTACATTGTTTTTTTGACAGGACAAGGATTTAATCACAATTGCTGTTATAAAGCTCTCAAAGCTACTTTTGATGACAGTGTCCCCTGAGCATGCTACCTTTGATCTGAAGTCCTCATGGTTCCTCCTGAGGTTTTTTTTTCAAATTCAATAGTTGCTTTGAATACTGTAAGTTCCAGTAGACGGTGCAAAGGGTTTGTGCTTGACTACTACCCTAAAGTTTGGCAGTTCAAACCCACCCAGCGACAGCGGAAGAAAAGGCCTGGTGATCTGCTTCTGTAAAGATTACAGACAAGAAAACCCTAAAGAGCTCAGTTCTACTCTGACACACATGGGGTCACCATGAGTTGGAATCAACACCGCGGCAATGAGTTTTTTTTTTTTTTTGTTTGTTTGGTTTGCTCCTAATACTTACAGGAAGTAAATTTTGGTTTTTTAGTTTGAAGAAATCTATCCTCCTTCCTTCATCAGGGTGATAATATTCTGTTTCCTTTTAGCCTTGGGAAATAGGGAAAGACGAATTTTCCTGGACTTCTGGTGACTATGTCTGTGATAGGTCAAAAAAGGAATGTCCTCCAAAGGAGAAGCAGAGACAATAAGCTGTCTCCTTCTTCTTGCCACCAGATGATCTCATTAGCTTAGTTATGGTCTTAATGGTGCTCCTTTGAAAGGTAGGAAGAGAGATACCCGCAAGCTGGTTTAGGTTAAAGCTGGGATGGGGGAGGTTATATAAAGTAACATGCCTGAGGAACGAACCTGCCATGGAGCTGGGCAGCTGGGACCTGCAGTGGAGACAGGTCAGGAATTCAGACAGCATCTACTTCCTCCCAGGGACCCGATGGCCATTGCTCTGTCTCTCTGTCTGCCTCCTGCTTCTCCGCTCCCTCTTGCCTTCGTTTTAGCTTACACTTAGCTGGTTTTCCCTCCTACTCTGAAGAGCACATGGCTCATGGTTTCTCACCCGAGTCTCCAAATACATCATATTCATCTTGATCCTTCTTCATCAGACACTGGCTCAGTTTCTGATTTCCAAATTCCCAGGAAATGAATCTAATTTCCCTCATTGTCTTTACTAATGAAGCCATAGGACATTAAGACTGTGGGCTATCCTTTGGTTAGGTGTTCACTCTAGAACCAGGCTGTCATGGCCAGAGTGGGTCCCTTGGACCTGGACATTGTATGGAAGAACTTCAAGACATGTGTGGTCAGCTGCCCTGACAAAGGCTGAGTTCCTTCTGAAACTGTTGTTGTTATTTGCTGTTGAATTGATTCCAACTTTTGGCAACCCTATGCGTGCAGAACAGAACTGTGTTCCATAGGGTTTTCAAGGCTGTGACCTTTCAGAAGCAGATCACCAGGCCTGTCTTCCAAGGTGTCTCTGGGTGTGTTCGAACTGTCAATCTTTGGGCTAGTAGTCAAGTGTTTTACCATTTATATCACCAAGGGACTCCTTCTGGAAGGGGACTGGGCCAGAATAAAGAAGCCCCTTCCTGGCCTGCTGGTTGCATCAGCTTCCATCTTTTGCACTGAAGGAAATCAACTAGAGGTGTTGCAGACTCCATGTACTCTTGCTAAACTTGCAGATAAACAGATTTAATTTACTTGTAATTTAGCTCTTGCTCATCACAGAAGGGAGTAAATATTTAAATTAAATGAATAAGAGCAGGAGGACAGGTCCTGAGAGAACCAGTTACTGATGATGGTGAAACCTGGCCTGTGGAGATGAGCAAGCTTGAGGGTAGCCAGCCAGGGCTCCCTCCAGCAAGAGTGCCATCTTGAAATAGTCACACAAACCTGAGCCCAGCATACGTGCACCTACAAATAAGCACTCTTATGTACATGTTGTGATTCCTAGTGGGTACACAAATAAGAGAGATGCTTTCCCGCTCCTGTGCACCACTCTCCCACCCAGAAGTCTGCCTATTCTTGCCCTTCCCCAGACATCTCTGGTTATTCAAATTCAGTGGTCAAGCTACATTCACCACTGAGTCCTCTAGGAAGTCATCTTTTCTTCTTCCATGGGAAAGAATATCCTCCTCCTTTGATCTCTCCTGGGTTCCATATGCAAACTTTGCTTTATGTTCTTCCTGTTAGTCATGTCTTCTACAAATGCTTATAAACAAACAAAAAATCAAACCAGTTGTCATCAAGTCAGTTCCGACCCCAATTCATGACAACCCCATGTGTGTCAGATAGAACTGTGCACCATGGGGTTTTCAATGGCTGATTTTTCGAAAGTAGATAGCCAAGCTTTTCTTTTGAGGTGCCTCTGGATGGACATACACTGCCAACCTTTCAGTTAGTAGCTGAATGTGTTAACCATTTGCACCACCCAGGGACTCCAGAAAAGCTGATAGATGGCCCCCAATATACCCGTTCTCTCCATTCTCCAGAAATGAGAGGTACACCAAGAGTCAAGCAAAATCTTCAGGAGAAATATGAGCAAACAGATCAGCTGGAATGGGAGGGTGCAAACAATTCACAAAAGAAGAAATACAAATGAGTAAGAAAATTTGGAAAAACATTGACTCTCTAATAGTCAACAAAAATCAGGATTAAAATAACAAAGTGAAAAAAAATTGTAAACACTGCTAGAGAGAATATAAATTGGTAAAATTATCTTTGGAGAGCAATTTGGAGATTATTGAATATGCTTATGGCTTTTGATCTCATAGCTTCACCTTTAGGAATATGTCCAAAAGAAATAAGTGGTTTAGTCCTGTTTGCATATGGGAGGGCATCTGGGGCAGAGTTCAGTGGACTTGGGGAGAAGGGTCAGGTGCTGCTACTTTGTCCCTGAGTTTGCTTTCCAGTGGTTCTTGCCCCTGGCTGCACACATATTAGCATTACCTGGGATCTTTAAACACTCCTGATGTCCAGAAGGGATAGCAGGCTAATTAAATGAGAATGCCCAGGGGTGGGGCCATGTATTCACAAAAGCTCTCCTGGTGATGCTGACTGTGGGGTCAGGGTTGCGAATCACTGCATTTTACCAGCAGACCTGGATCAAATACTCTCACAACTGTTATTTCAAACCACTTGCCTCTCAGGCTGCAAATCTAAAAAAGGGTGGAAAAGGGTGAGGCAATGTGACGTAAGCAATGATTGCTTCCCCTCCATCGATGACACTGGATTCACGCAGACCATTCCCTCAGTGGACACAGAAGGAGAAATGAAAGGTGGACACAATCCTGGTGGTGGGGGTGGAGAGGGAGGTGAAAAGGACAGAGAAGTCCACTGCTCTCATACAGCTCAGATTCTACTGGGGGAAGAGCAAGGGCGAGAGTGAGAGAGAGAGAGTATTGCTTTGGTGTTGGACACACAATTCTGTTGTTGTGTGCCATTGAGTCAATGCCAACACTTAGAGGTCTTGTGTGACAGAGTAGAACTGCCCCATAGGGTTTTCTAGGCTGTAATCTTTATGGAAGCAGACTGCCAGGTCTTTTCTGCCTTGGAGCTGCTGGTAGGTTTGAACTGCTGACCTTTCGGTTAGCAGCCGAGCACTTAACCACTGCGCCACCACGGCTCCTTGGACACACAATGGCACTGAATAAATCACAGAGACTTCTGTGTCATCAAAACTCCACGATTCCTCAAGAAATGTAGAAGGCTGTCCTTGGTGGAAAGGGGTAGGAAATTGTGTAATTTCCTGCACAGATAAGAACTGATCAAGCAGGAAGGAGGGGTGGAGGCTAGGCAATACTCTAAACAGAAGACATGTGCTTGTCATTTAATTACCTATTTCAGGAATTATTAAGGAATTATGGAGTATTTGGAAAATGACGCTTAAAAATATATGAACATAAATCATTAGAAGGACTACTAGAGTTGAAGTTGTTCTGTTGTTAGGTGCCTTTGAGTCGGTTCCGACTCATAGCAACCCTACGTAAACAGAATGAAATACTGCCCGTCCTGCGCCATCCTCACAATCCTTGTTATGTTTGAGCCCATTGTTGCAGCCACTGTGTCAATCTGTCTCGTTGAGGGTCTTCCTCTTTTTCACTGACCCTGTACTTTACCAAGCATGATGTCCTTCTCCAGGGACTAATCCTTCCTGATAACGTGTCTGAAGTATGTGAGACATAGTCTCACCATCTTTCCTTCTAAGGAGGCTTGGAGTTAGGACACCTGAATTCCAGTTCTGAAGTGTTGTATGACTTTGGTAAATCACTTATTCCTTCTGCTCTTCAGTTTGTTATCTGTGGGATAAGGGCATTGAACTTCGGGATCGCTACAATAATTTATATCTTTAATGGTGGTGATGGGTGATACCATAAATGTTTTCTCATGGTGCAGGTGGAGGCATTTCTAGTATTGTAAACTTCAGAAACACACTTTACTTTTGTGAAGGTCAATGTCGTGGATGAGGACAGCTTGAACATGGACCTAGAATTCAGTATTCGAGAAACTGTGTGCAGGAGAGATTCTGGAGAAAATCCCACTACCTGTGACTTCCAAAGGGGCTACTTTGTGGTAAGTGTGGCTGGAAGGCCCTAATCCCCAAAACCCACATAAGGAAGAGCTGCGTCTGATTCCATGACATGGAGCAGATTCACAAGTCACACCAAGAGCTTGGCCACTGCCTGGGGTTTAGCCACATGGGGCGCACCCCTAACTGCATCCACACTGTGTTGCCTGGGAGGGAGGCAGGGTTGCTCAGTGGCTGGGCCTTAAGCTTTGGAGTCCTGTCGTCCTGAGTGATCTGGAAAAATTATTGAAGCCCTCGTTGCCTCATTTTCCTGCTCTTTAAAATGGGGATAGCGGTTGTTGCTGCTAGGTGCTGTCAAGTTGCTTGACTCACAGTGACCCTGCGTGCAACAGAACGAAACACTGCCTCATCCTGCACCATCCTCACAATCGTTGCTATGCTTGAGCCCATTGTTGCAGCCACTGTGTCAATCCATCTCGTTGAGGGCCTTCCTCTTTTTCGCTGACCCTCTACTTTACCAATCGTGATGTCCTTCTCCAGGGGCTGGTCCCTCCTGATAACATTTCCAGACAAAGTGAATACAAAGGGGTTGACACCAAAGAAAAATCCCACCAACATGTCAAATTCTAATATAAATGAATCCAAAACACCAGCTGTGTTTGGGTGCATGCTACTTTATTTTGTAGTTGGCTGTTGCCAATCTGTCTCCTCCATTAGCTCGGGCTCCATGAGATCAGGCATGTTCATTTTTGTATCTTCAGTGACCAGAACTTGGGATGGCACTTAATTAACACCCATGGGCACGAGTCCTGCCTGAACAGGGCAGCATCATCAACCCAGTATTTGTTTTCCAAAGTGTGGAAGGTTCTCCCAGTACCCATCTTGGTGGAAAGGGGTAGAAAATTGTGTAACCTCTTGCCTAGCCCTGGTTCTTGTTACTTTATCAGTTTAATTATCCTGGGACAACTTCACAATGCTTCGGAGTCCCTAGGGGGTGCAAGCGGTTAACACACTTGGCTGCTAACCAAAAGGTTGGAGGTTCGAGTCCACCCAGAGGCCCCTCAGAAGAAAGACCTGATGATCTACTTCCAAAAAATCAGCAGTTGAAAACCCTATGTAGCACAGTTCTACTCTGACACACGTGGGGCTGCCATGAACCAGAGTTGACCTGTCAACAAATGGTTTTGCTTCATAATGATGTAAATTCTGAAAAGATGATTTTTTTTTTTTTGCTTTTGTTATTTGTTTCATGAAATTTTTCATTGAGACCTGGTTTTAAAAAGAGGCCAAGCTAAAGTGTCAGAAGCATCTATTTCTAAAGATATCCGAGGACAAAGAGGAAGAGAGCAAAGTCCTTTGTGATTCTCAACCATTTCTTTTTGTTCAGATGAGAGACAGTTTGAGACCTTCCTCTCAATGCTTACAGAGGGAATGTTTGTTTTCCCTGGAGGCTCATGATGTATCAAACTCTGAAGAGCTATTTAAATATTTCATTTGTGTCTGCTGAGGTATTGAGAAATTTTCATTTTGGAGAAACAAAATCCCTCTGTAAATTTTTCCTTTCTACATCATGTTGTCAAGCCCTGCAGTATTGCTTAGTTTCTTGGAAAGACCCTAACCCCTTCTGGGGCGGCAGAAAGCATAACTCACTGCTTTGTTGTTCCCAGCCAGTGGTCGTCTGCAGAAGCTCCGTGAAGCTGTCTGCACAGCAGGTGCGAGATGTCTGGGTTCAATGCCACTGGTCCTCCAGCTCCGAGTCTAACAGCAGAGAAGAGGTAGGGCCACGGGCTTGAGTTCCTCTCAGGCAGTGACTTTTAGGGTCTGTACAAAGCAGAGTGGTGTGATAAAGCAGGAAGTCCCCGGGTGGTGCAAACAGTTAACGTGCTCCCTGCTAACTGGAAGGTTGGCTGTTTGAATCTACTTGGAGGCACTGTGGAAGAAAGGCCTGGTGATCCACTTTTGAAAAATTTTAGCGATTGAAAACCCTATGGAGGACAGTTCTACTCTGACACATGTAGGGTCACCATGAGTTGGAATCCACTCTACAGCAACTACTTTTTATTTTATTTTATTTTTTTTTGTGATAGAGTAGCTGGATAATTATTCAGATATGGACAAACATAGCTCTGCTTACTGAACTGTGTTCTCCACTTTTACACACATATCTCATTTCTAAAGTCTCCTGTTTCATCCAGGCTATTCTCCCGCTGTCCTCTGCCCCTCAAGATTTGGGACAATTAACAAATTAATTAACAAATCTTCAAAGGTTTAGATCTAAATCTGTGACTCCTTGGCACTGTGGGTTAGTGGAGTGGAAATGGGCAATTGTGTTGGGTCAGTGTGCAAATTCTTTACAAGCTCCGAGATTTAGCCTTAACCTTTATGAGCCACAGCTTCTTCATCTGCTAAATGAGAGTAATAAAACCACCTTATAGGTTGTTGAGAGAATAAAGTAAATTGATGCATATGAAAGATCTGGTCCAGCATCTAGTAAGTAATAGATATTCAGAGAATGGCAGGATACTTTCTTTTTCTCTCAATCCCCTTGACAGTGATTTGCAGTAATACTGTAAAATCAATAATATATAAATTTCCTACCTGAAATTATATTACATATTTATTAGTCTGTCTATTGACTGCCTTCCATAGTAGAATGCATGGCTCATGATGAGGACAGGAGAGTTTTGTTAGTCTAGGACCATGTGTGACACATGGTTATTGTTGCTGATATCTACTGTCAAGTCAGCCCCCATACTCGTGGTGACCCCAGGCACCACGGAACGAAGCACTATGTTATCTCTTAGGAGTTTTATAGTTTCCACTGTTATGTTTAGGTCTGTGGCCATTTTCATTTAATTTTTGTATATGGTGTGAGTTAGGGGTTCAACTTCATTCTTTTGCGAGTGGATATCCCAACATCATCTTTGAAAAGACTTTTTTTTCCATTGTATTTCCCCATGCTATACCAATCACTGTGATGGTGGCCAGGAGGCTAACCATCTGTGAATATCCAGGATGGAGAGGTAACAGATGGGTAGCCCATACACCCACTGGAAAGACTGTGAACCAAACAGCCACCCTACTTTATGACTATTGCGTGGTCTTCCAGGGGCTTCGTGAAGACTGTTTTGCCACCTTTTCCTAACTGAACATAATATGGGGACTTCATTGAGAGAGAGCTCCCAAATTTGACCTAAGCTCAGTCTATTTGCAAGTCTATATAATAATACTTTCCATTGGTAAAATGTAAAATTTATAAAATTAAAAAAAAATCTTTCTGGTCCACAACAGCATTTGGGTGTACATTCTGGATCTAATGGGAAACCTTTTAGTAAATTTAAACTTTATTAAATTGTAAGTTGCTCTCTCCACATGCTTTCTTTAATGTATATGTTTGATACCCTATAACACTGTTTAATATATTGCCTTGTTTCATTAAAATGCATTTTATAATATATTAATCCCTCCAGATAATATTTACCTTTTTTTTACAATATAAAACACTTTTATTCCTTTTCTTCTCTTTTATTTGTTAATATCTATTGATGTCTACGTTTGTTTAGATGATTTTTGAGGACATGCGGAGATCCTATAGATGGAGAAACTACTATCCACAAGGTAAGTTGAGATCTGGTGTTAAAAAAATTTTTTTTAAACAATTTCATATAACAGCACTTTGTTAGTGAGTGCATTTAAAACTGGAAGTACATATATAGCCTTTGAAAATACAGCAATTAAAGAAAATAAATTTTCTCTTTTGCTTTTGCTCTTTTCTTAACACTAGGCAGTAATGATACAACAATTCATTTGTTGTTGTTATGAGGTGTGGTTGAGTCAGTTCTAACTCTTAAAGACCCTATATACAACAGAACAAAACACTACCCGGTCCTGAGTCATCCTCACAATCCTTGTTATGCTTGAGCCCATTGTGGCAGCCACTATGTCAATCCATCTTGTTGAGGGTCTTCCTCTTTTTTGCTGACCCTTTGCTTTACCAAGCGTGATGTCCTTCTTCAGGGACTGGTCCCTCCTGATAACATGTCCAAAGTATGTGAGACATAGTCTTGCTGTTCTCGCTTCTAATGAGCATTCTGGCTGTACTTCTTCCAAGACAGATCTGTTTGTTCTTCTGGCAGTCCATGGTATAGTCAATATTCTTCGCCAACATCGTAATTCAAAGGCATCAATTCTTCTTCGGTCTTCCTTATTAATTGTCCAGATTTCACATGCATGTGAGGCTTGGGTCAGGTGCACCCTAGTCCTTAAGGTAACATCTTTGCTTTTCAACATTCTAAAGAGGTCTTTTATAGAAGATTTGCCCAATGCAATGAGTCCTCTGATTTCTTGACTGCTGCTTCCATGGGCGTTGATTGTGGATCCAAGTAAGAGGAAATCCTTGACAACTTCAATTTGTTCTCTGTTTATCATGATGTTTACTGGTCCAGTTGTGAGGATTTTTGTTTTCTTTATTTTGAGGTGTAATCCATACTGAAGACTGTGATCTTTGTTCTTTATCAGTAAGTGCTTCAAGTCCTTTTAACTTTCAGCAAGCAAGGTTGTGTCATTTGCATATCGAAGGTTGTTTATGAGTCTTCCTCCAATCCTGATGCCCCATTCTTCTTCATACAGTCCAGCTTCTCAGATTATTTGCTCAGCATACAGATTGAATAAATATGATGAAAGGATGCAACCCTGATGCACATCTTTCCTGACTTTAAACCATGCAGTATCCCCTTGTTCTGTTCGAATGACTGCCTCTTGAACTATGTACAGGTTCCTTATGAGCACAACTAAGTATTCGGGAATTCCCATTCTTTGCAGTGTTACCCATAATTTGTTATGATCCACACAGTTGAATGCCTTTGCATAGTCAATAAAACACAGGTAAACATCTTTCTGGTATTCTCTGCCTTCAGCAATAATGATACAACTCTTCCTTTAGATATCCCTTTATCATGTGTACAGAGCTTTTCCATGCTTGATTCCTTTGATGGCCCCACCATGGGTGTCATAGGCCAATGACAGTTTTCTCCCTAAGAGGGTCCTATGACTTGGGCATGCTTGTCCCCTTCGGGGTATACTACCTAAATTATGAACCCAGATACACAGTACTGTGTAGCTAGGGGGACTGGCCCTAAACATTATCTGACAGATAGGCTGTGATCCTCCAGCCGTGTGACTAGAGCTGACCATCCCTTTGAGTGTCTTGGAGGGGAAAGGGAGAGCTCACTTTTTTCCCCTTCTTGTATGGACTCTTATTTGAGGTCAGATTGGGTTGGTGTTATATGGTGCAGGAGTCATCTTTCATGTTTCTGAGACTCTGCCCTATTGGTATGATGGTGGCAAAATTCTTTGGTGATCTCCCCCAACTTCCTTGAATAAGAAGCGTATTGGTGATATCAATAATAAAATTGCAGAACATTACGGAAGTGGTGGAGAGAGGAAGATGTCTTGTGACTGTCACTGTGTTACAGGTCTCATTCCTGAAGAAACCAGTAGTGAACAATTTCATGAAAGGTCACCAGGTAAGCCATTCTATTTTCTCCCGTAGGACCCCCACAGATCCGTTTCTGACCATTCTAGATTCTGCTGAAGCCATTTCATAAGAATCAAACCCCTGAAACATAGGATATTTTAGATTAAAATGGAATAAGTGACACTGCATAAACTTGCATTCAAATCTTTAAAGAGTTAATCTTGTGTCATTAACTCATTTAAAAGTTACCAGGAATTAGGATATCAAATCTGGCACAGGAAATCAGCATAGACCCCATTTCCTGCCCCACTCTGGAGTGTTTTCTGAATAGCCCAAACTGTCTCTTGCTTCTCTTTGTCTTCCACCCTCATATGTACTTCTAGGTAAGAGGACAAAACTAACAGTTATTTAGTGCCTCTTTTGCGCAGATCTGGAGCGCTGGTGGTGCAGTGATTAAGCATCTGGCTGCTAAGCAAAAGGTCGGTAGTTTGAATCTACCAGCCACTCCTTGGAAACCCTATGGGGCAGTTCTACTCTGTCCTATAGGGTTGCTATGAGTTGGAAGCGACTCAACAGCAGTGGGTTTGGTTTCGTTTGGTTTTTGTGCAGATCTGTTTCTCACAGATAATTTGGTAAACCAGGTGTATTACCTGCTTATATAGGTGAAAAAATGGGTGATAGCTCAAGACCTTAGCTGGCATATTCAGAATGCTCACTGTGTATTAATTACTTAACACAAATTTCTCCTTCGACCGTCACAACCATCCTGTGAGCGCAACACTCAGTTTTTTCCCATTTGGGAGGAGATCAAACTGAGGCTTAGTTAGCAAGTCTGTGTAACTTCTTCAAGGCTACAGGACTAATGGAGAACTTTGATCAAGGCAGTGCTTGGTGAAGATGGCTTTGCTACAGATTGGCTTGACTCTAAAGCCTGTGCCATTTCCATGCCACTTCCAGAAGAATCGTGACGTTCACACTATGTTCAGAGTCCCCGTTAAAATGAATAATAGATAGTCATGTGTCAGAGAGCTCGATGTCTGATCCACATTAGCCACACTCCAATTTAGTTGAAGTGCTAGGGCTTAACTAATCATAACTAAAAGTCTAAGTTTTATACCTGTCTCACATTGTCACTTTTGGAGAACACACAGTTATACAAACAGTGTGATCACTACTGATAAATAATTTTGAACTCTTCCTTTGAAATTGTCTTTAGAATCTATTGACTGTTCTTTTGAATATCTTTACTGGTGGCAAATAGTTTCCTGTGGATTTGGCTTTGGAAATGGCCAGAAGCCATTTGGAAATAAATCTGGTGAATCAGATTAATAACCAATTTGAGAGTATGAGTTATCTATTGCTGAATATGAAATTACTCCAAAAATTTGCATCTTAAAACCATAAATATTTGTTATCTCACAGTTTCTGAGGGTCAGGAAGCCAGGGGTACATTTGTGGTGCTTCTGGCTCAGGGTGTCTCATGAAGTTGCAGACAAGACATCGACCAGGGCTGTGATCTCATCTGAAGGCTTGACTGAGGCTGAAGGATCCACTTCCAAGCTCACTCACTGAATGTTGGCAGCCTCAGTTTTTCATGGGCTGTTGGATTAAAGCCTTCATTTTCTTGCCCTGTTGGCCTTTCCACAGAGATTCCTGAGTGTTCTCAAAACATGACAGCTGGCTTCCCCCAGAGTGAGAGATGAGAGAGGGAGAGAGAAAGAGAGAGAGGGAATAAGTGAGGAAGAGAGCACCTGTCTTAGTTATCTAGTGCTACTATAATAGAAATACTACAAGTGGATAGCTTTAACAAAGAGAAGTTTATTCTTTCACAGTCTAGTATGCTAGAAGCCCAAATTCAGGGTGTCAGCTCCAGAGGAAGGCTTCCTCTCTCTGTCAACTCTGGAGGAAGGTGCTTATCATCAATCTTCCACTGGACTAGGAGCTTCTCAGTGCGGGAACCCCAAGTCCAAAAGACTTGCTCTTCTCCTGGCACTACTTTCTTGGTGGTATGAGGTTCCTATGGCTCCCTGCTTGCTTCTCTCTTTTACATATCTCAAAAAAGATAGACTCAAGGTACAATCTAATTTTGTAGATTGAGTCCTGCCTCATTAACATAACTGCCTCTAATCCTACCTCTTTAACATCATAGAGGTAGGGTTTACTACCCATAGGAAAATCACATCAGATGACAAAATGGTGGACAATCTCACAATACTGGGAATCATGGCCTATCCAAGTTGACACACATTTTTGGGGGACATGATTCAATCCATAATAGTGCCCAAGACAGAAGGTGCCGTCTTTTATAACCTGATGTTGGAAGTGATGCATCACCACTTCTACTTTATTTTATTAATCACACAGACCAACCCTGGTACAATATGGGAGCAGATTACCCAGGGTTTGAATACCAAGAGGCAGGGATGATTGGAGGCCATCTTGGAAGCTGGTTACTGCTTTGGGAAAATGCCACTTGGGATTAAAAAAATAGTACATGGATACAAGTTAATTGACATATTCTTTTGTGTACCTTAGAAGATAATTCCAGAACTGAATTGTAAAACTGTCTGAGGCTTGGGAACATCATTGAGGCTGATGTGCAGTCATCTTGGAGACTGCTCTGAACATGAGGATTTAACTTAATTCCACATATGTATATGGACTGCCTTGTGTGTGAAAAGTACTGGCAAACCCTGCAGAGTACTATCAGATGAAAGTGACATTCTCTGTCCTCAAGGGGCTTCCGGTAGGGAATGAGAACATCACACCTGGCAACACAGAGTAGAAGGAAATAAGTACTGGGCTCAGTTGCTTAAGTAACACGACTGAGACAGTGAGGGGGAGCTTGATAAGGAAGACATAGTTATATTTCTGGGGTATTCTGTTGATGGTCTGGGTTCTGGTTAGGCTAGTCACAATCATTCTTGTTAATTTACGGTCACATAGTCCATGTTGTCTTAGATCTTGATGTGAGTCACGGAGCCTATGCATTCTCTTTCTATCTTTAGAGACCATGAGAAGGTTCTTTCCTCCTGGAAATAGAAGGTACCCAGCCCGCCAGTATAGAGAAAGGACATATATTGGCTTTGCGTAACAGTCTTGAGGTAAGACAACACAATTAAAAACATGTGTATTGAGAGTAGAAGCTGCTTGGGGTGAATGCCTTAAAACTGCTGCTCCTGTACCTCCAAACGTCTGTAGTATGCTATTCAGCCCCCGTCTTTACCTTTTCCACCTTCTCTTGCCTCCTCCAAGATGTTGCTCCTCAATCTCGTGCACCCTCAATCTATTTTCCCTTGACTTTTTTACCTTTTGCCACTGCTGTGGTGAAGTTTCCCCCCTGCACAAGCAAACAAATAAACAGGCGATCCCTTCCTTTGCCTCATCTCCCCCATCCCAGCATCTCCCTTCCCTCCATCTTTTCCTTCACGGCTAAGCTTCTTGGCACAATAGACCATGGCTGCTGCCTCAACTTCTTCACCTCCTATGCACTTTTCTGCTTTTTGCCAACTGGATTTGAACCCCTCAAATCTATGAAAACTTATCTGGCTTCCTTTTTCCTATAATTTAAATACTAGCAACCATTTGTGCTATCTCTTAGATTCTTTCCTTATTCTACAGGTTACTCTGTCATCTTTTCCGCTTGCCTGACTTTTGAACGATCACAGATGTATAATTATCCTCATATATACCTCTCTTACCATGCTCTATCCCGAGATCCAGGTCCTTATATCAACTGCCTACTGGATGCAGTTACTACCAGACCTCCAAAAATTCAACTAGCCTTCTTCCAAACTCGCATCTTAATTGAAGTTATCACCATTCACCTAATTTGCTTGAGCTGAAAGCCTGAGGGGCAGCATTGACTCTTCTTTATCCTTTGTCTTCTCCCAACATCCTCAGGGGTCCAATCTTATTGCTTTGTCCACACATTTTCTCTGCAATTGATCCATCATTTCATTACCATCATCACTGCCTACTTTCTTGCCTCAGGTTCTGATCTCTTGCTGTCTAGCCTGCATGCTATCCTCCAGTTTCTCTTTAAACACAGAGGAGACTCTGTCCTCTCCCCACTTAAACCCTGTGATGTTCGCTTCACTTATGAGATGAAGCAGACGTGTGCAAAAGCCAGACACTGAGCCAAGAGGAAGAACAGCCTATTTGGAGAGCTAGACCCTGAGCCCTGGTTGACCAAACCCACACTGAGCATCACTGAGTGTCACGTGTATAGAAATTCCCAGTCCCCAGGGATTACAGCAAATGAAACTCTGTTTCTAAAGGCACCCAAGTACTAGAGGGACACCATGAAGGGCATACTAAAAAGGAATCAGTTGTGCATTGGATGTAATTATAGATGTCAGTTCAGGGCACATTTTTACACACACCCACTCGAGTTAATAATAAAGCTTGAACTTTCATGGGCTTTACAGTTTACCTAACACTGCATGCTTTACGAGTAAAGTCCAAATTCCTTAGTGTAGCCCACAAAGGTCTTCATAATCTGGCCTTTGCCCACCTCTCTGGCCTCATCTCTCCCAAGTCAGCCTGCTGCTAAGCTCCAATTATACTGAAATGCTTGGAGCTCCTCCTGCTGCAGTCTCTACCTGGAACATCTACCTGGCTAATTCCTCCTCATTATTCAGGTCTTAGCCTAGCTGTTGCTTCTCTTGGAGGTTGACTCTGACACCTCCACCACCCACACCCCACCGCCCCCCCAAGTCAGAGTTACTTCCCTCTATAGGTCTCCATAAAGATTTCAATACAGGACAGTTAGTTACTTGTTGACTTCTCTGCCCCCATCCTACTCTCTGAGAGCAGGGCTTCTGGAACTTTCTTTGCCATTGATCTCCCCAGTGCCTGCACAGAAACTGGCACAGAGTAAGTGCTCAGTAAAATACTTTTTTGAGCAGATGAAAGAATTCTTCACCTTAAGTCAAGCATAGTCTAATTAATTGTTAAAGACTGGACTTTGAAATAAGTCAACTGACATTTTGCTAAAATAGAAGGAAAATTCACCAGTGAGACTTTACTTTATGAAAGATACCAATCGTAGGTTTTCTTTTAAATCTACAGTGTGTCCTAAAAATAAAAACCAGCTTTGTACACTTGGCAATCTTCATGTGGCATGACATCTCTCTTACCCCATCTCTTCTCTCTTATATCTCAAGAGAGATTGATTTAAGGCAAACCCTACATTAATACTGCCTCATCAATATAACAAAGAGAATTCATTTACAAATGAGATTACAACCACAGGTATAGGGGTTAGGATTTACAACACATTTTGGGGGAGACACAATTCAAGCCATTACATGCCCTTCTTGAAGATTTTCTATACATTTCTATATATTGACCATGCTGTCCTATAATCGCTTCTATCTTCTCCAGTAGTGTGTGATTTTTTTTGAGGTCAAGGGCTATGTTCCATTGATCATTGTAACCTTTAATAATTGGTCAATGTGTACATGTTTGTTGAATGGATGAATGAATAATCCCATGACCAGCCTCATACCCTCAGATGACCAAAGCTATGGCCAGACTCTCTCCTTGACTGGTTGGATGGGTTTCTTCCTCCTCACCCTCACACTACAACCACTTCTTTAGACCAGCTTGAGTTCCAACACCTTCCTGCAGCCTCTCCCCAGGGACCTCTCTTGTCCTCCCTTTTTTGAGACTTGAACTTCCTTTCTGGGGCTGCGTCTCCATTCCCTAAGACTCGATTGCCTCTTTTCTTCCCGGAAGTGTCTGTCATCCATTTTCTTTATTCAAGGAGCTGATTGCTTTGCATAGCTGCTCAAGCCCTCCCATGCTACCTTGGATCCATTCCTGAATGGCAGCTTCTCCAAAGCTAGAACTGGAAACTGTACCACTAGGGTCTAATCCTCCCCTTCTTTTCTTTTTTAACAGAAAATGTGTTGGAAGGAATAGAACTTCTAACGAAGAAAAGTAATTTATGAATTGTGTAATTTTTCTTCTGATCAGTTCCAATCTGTAATAAATATCTTACTTATTCTCTTTTTCTTCTTTGTGTGATTTTTAAAAATAGGTTTAACTATCAAAGTTTTAGAGGAGAAGCTAATGGCACGAGAAAGTGGGTATTAGCTAAGGATTTAGGGGAGTCGCTGGGCAGGACACACGGTTAAACCACTCTGCTGTTAGCTGAAACATTAGAGTTTCCAGACCACCCAGAGGCTCCTCAAAAGAAAGGCATGGCGAACGACTTCTGAAACATCAGCCATTGAAAACACTATGGAGCACAATTCTACTCTAACACACATGGTGTTGCATGAGTTGGAGTTGACTCTATGGCAACTGGCTACTGGTTAAGGATTTTAGGAGTTGAGGACTCATGAAGTGGCTGTGCTTGGAATAATTTTGTCACGTGTGTGTTTTAGACCAATATTTGCAATGGTTATAAATTCAATGTTGTTAAAAGACCATCAGTCCCAGGCAGCTCAGTGTCAGAAGAGTGTTGGTCTTTCCTTTTATGTCTAATTTTAATTTTTTAAAAAGTCATCTGTGCTTAAGGGTAAGAAGCATCATGGTCAATCACCCTCCCCACCCAAAGAGTGTCATTGCTTCTTCTGCTTCCAGTTTCTCAGTCCAGGGAACCCATAGCAAAGTGAGCAGCTTCCTGTCAAAGCAGGTCTCACCAGGAAAGTACCCAAAGTGGCTGAAGTTTGAATGCTCCAACCCACTTACTTAGAAATGTGCCCCAGCTGGGTGGCATTCTTGCAGACGGTTCTTTTTCTGTGGTCAGTCTGCTCTGGGCTGACCAAGTAGTGGCTTCTGCTGAGACAGGATTTAAAGGATGCAAAAGTACCCAAATCTGATCATGTTTCTTGGCCAGCAAGACAGCAATCCACATCAATTCCCACATGCACCCCTGGGGACTACTTTCTGGGATGGAAGATGCCCTCAGTCATTTGCAACTCAATTTAAATGCAACTGTTTACTCCTGCTCCAGTAGCAAATTTGTAAACGTTTGATAAGATTAGTCCCTCCCCACCTGACCTTCACTCTTCATTTTTATTTCAGAATTTTCCTGGATATTCAACTTTAAGATCAGCTTGTTAAGTTATGAAAAACAATCCTATTGGCATTTGGAATCAAATTCCCCCCCAAAAACCAAACCTGTTGCCATTGAGTCTACTCTGACTCCTAGCAACCCTCTAGGACAGAGTAGAACTGCCCCATAGCGTTTCCTAGGCTGTAATCTTTATGGAAGCTGACTGCCACATCTTTCTCCCTGGGAGTGACTGGTGGGTTTGAACCACTGACCCTTCGGTTAGTAGCCAAATGTTTTATCACTGCTCCACCAGGGCTCCTTTGAATCCAATTAATTACATTAAAAATTTATAGGTTAATTTAGGAAAAGTTGACATCTTTAGATTTTGGAGTTTTACTCCATCAGAATAAGATATATATTCCCACTTATGGAGGTCTTCTTTTTATGCCCTTCAATAGAGTTTAAGAATTTTTAAAATGTGAGTTCTACATATTTCTTCTTATATCCACTCATCAGTGGTATTTTTTTGTTGCTATTATAAATGGGATTTTTTGTCATTATATTTTATAACATAAAATTGACTAATACATATGTATATAGTTTTTTGACCTGTCTTCCTGTTCAGTTCTAATTGTAATTCTAATTAGCTTTCATTTGATACTCTTGAATAAGTTATTATTCAATATTATTCAATTATTATGTCTTAGACTGGGTTCTCTAGAGAAGCAAAACCAGTAAAGCATATAAATATATATATAGAGAGATTTATATCAAGGAAACAGCTCACTTGATTGTAGAGGCAGGAACGTCCCAAGTCCATATATCAGGATAGAGGCTTCTCCTGACTCACGTAGCCTCACGTAGCAGAAGGGGGCCGCGAACCCAAGATTAACGGGTCGGAGAGCAGGGCTCTTGCTCACAGGCTGTAAAGATCGATGAATCCCAATATTGGCAGGCAAGACTGCAAGGTGTCTCCTGATTCATGTAGCTGCAGGGGCTGGCGAACCCAAGATCAGCAGGTTGGGGAGCAGGGTTCTTGCTCACAGGCAGTGAAGATCAATGAATCCCAAGATTGGCATGTAAGC